ACATGTGTCTCTACTTTCTTTAAGTGCACTGCAAAAGTTTCTCTGTTGCCCCACACATGTGTTGATGAATTGTTGATTATTAGAAAAGGTTTCTTGGATGTTATTTGTGACAGATGTGTTATTGCTCAACTTTATTTACAAAAATATCATTTTTGGATAAGATAGCTGAGCTTTCCACCAATCAGCATTCAAATGTCATAACCACCATTTTATCCTCGCTGTGCTACAATCTACAAAGGTTGTTTAATCATATCATATCATATGGGACGTCCATTGTTGTTACAAGGGAATGACCAATTTAACGCTAGAGCGGCCTCCATTGAATTCGAACATAATAAGGTGCCAAAATTTTCAAAAATGTTGACTCCCATTGAAAAGCCTTTCCCGTGGCCTCCCTTTGATTTTTTTTGCCCTCACAAATAAATGCAACTCCTATTTCCATTCCTATTCCTCTCAACATTGACCCTTTGGTCCTTTCATTGTCCATTATTCTTATTCATTTACTATACACATAATACACCTTTCATCTGTTGGCCCACTTTCTCCTTTTTTCCCCTTTATTTCATTTGTTGGCCCCTAAATTTTCATTATTCCCTTTTGGGGTCAAAATTTTGGAGAACACATGAGGACCCTCCAAAGGCACATGGAATATCATCTCCATTACCCAACAAATCTCATTTCACATTCAATCTCCTCCTCCTACTTTTCTTTTTGTGTTCCACATGAAATCATTGGCAGGTCCTTCATGTTTCCTCAACATTCTTTGAACATACTGGTTTTTTTATCGATCAAAATGTTCGTGATGGTCCCATGATCTCGAACTGTTGGTTTGGTCGGGAACGGTCGTACCGAACAAAGATATGCACAAACAGTGTGAAATGAAAGGTTCTACGAAATATTGTGAGTTGCAGAGTGAAAGAAATGATAAGGTTTGTTGGGTGCTGTTTTCAGCTCAAAACTTTTGTTCTTTACTCTGAAATTTTCACGAAGAATTTTTTAAGAATCACTCTGAAACAATGGAAATTCCACCACTAGAGCTGTTGCCATGACTATCATCACAAAGATTCAAAGCTCGTTCCAAATTCACAACAATGTCAATCATCGTTGGCCGATCTTTCCCTTCCAAACGCACGCAGTGCATCGCTGTGTAAGCCACAAGCTCTACTGCCTCTGCTTCGTTCATCTGCGGCGGCCCGACTCTTGGATCCAAAATCTTCCCCAGTTCTCCGATCGTAATCGCAGGCACTGCAAAATCGACCACGCTCACCAGTGTCCCTCCTCGCTCATCATCCTTAAATATAGCTCTCTTCCCTGTCAAAAGCTCCAGCAACACCACCCCAAGCCCATACACATCACTCTTAGCAGTCAAAACGTTCAGTCCATAGTACTCGGGATCAATGTAACCAACCGTCCCAGCTGCCTTTGTCGGTCGGTAATCAAGGTCTGACCCGGGGCTCATCAACGACAACCCGAAATCGGATACTCTCGCTGTCCAATTCGAATCGAGAAGAATGTTGGATGATTTGATATCCCTATGGATTATAGGAGGGACTGCATAGTTATGAAGATATTCAATTCCTCTTGCTGCATCTAAAGCAATTTTGATCCTCATCTTCCAAGAGTTCACAACACTGCTGCCCTTTTCAGAGTTGGTCTTGTCATGAAGATGATTGTAAAGTGCACCATTCTTCATATACTCATAAACCAAAAGCCGCTCATCTTTCTCCTCACAATACCCCACAAGCCTCACCAAATGCTTGTGATGAAGTCTAGACAAGAACGCCAATTCTGAATCAAAAGCACTCTCCTTCTCCTGAAACTTCTTTGTCTTCGGCCCCGTTTCGCCTCTCTTGATCGCAACCTCACGCCCATCGCTGAGTTTCCCACGGTACACAATGCCAAAGCTCCCTTCACCAATCTTGTTCTCATGGGAGAAGTCATTGGTAGCCAAAGCAAGCTCAGCCAGAGTGAATTCTTCTGCTCTATCGGCGTGCTTCGAGGACGTACCACTCCTCTGCCTCCGCATTATTCGAGACCCTTGTCGCCGAATCGTCGATGACCGCGATGGCGGGCTGTTGTTCGTGTTTGACGTTGTCGTCCCACCATTTGAGCTAGCAGCTCGAGTAATGGTCGGCTGAACAGAGTTGTGTATCTTCTTATGACCAAAACAAACACCAGTCCATAAACAGTAAACAACAGTACAAATCCCAGCAACGGCCCCAACTGAGCCCACAATAGCAAAAGCCAGCAAACCCTTTCTCAATGCCGCTGGAGGAGGTGATGGGATCATCACCATTGGCGGCGGCGAGGGCGGTATTGGCGAAAACGGCGGTGAAACAGTAACCAAACAACGATTACAGACATTCCCAGAATCAGAACAGAGCGTTTGAGAGAGAGGATAAACACCACAATCCCGACAAGAAGATTGAACACAAGGACCAGGAAGAATCTTAGGAAGAGAAAGTGAAAAAAGACCAGAAGAATCGTTCGACCAGCCAGGCCCCCAACAAAGAACAGAGAAATTACTCGTTGTTAATCCACAAACGAAATCCGATCCCGAAGAAATTAACTCAAAAGAAGTTTGTCGAATTGAATCCACAGAGAAATCTGAGCTTCCCCAACAAACGACAGATCGATTCGAGAGCAAAATCCCACAGCTATGGCGTTCGCCGAGGGCCAATTCAGAGAACCCTCTGGATGAATTCGAAGGAAAATCCAACTGCCCAAAATCGTTGTTCCCCCTACAAACCAACCCACCGGAGATGTTCAATCCACAAGCATGAAACCCACCGGCGACGATGATCGACATTGAGATATTTCGAAACCCATTTTCAATTAGGGCCGCAATCGACGAATTCCGACCCCAACATCGAACAGATTGATTACCCTTCAAAATTCCGCAAGAAAATCCAAACCCAGAAGAAATTGAATCGAATTGAAGAGAAGAAAATCCAACTCGCACGTTGTTACCATCGCGCCAGCAAGTTGCATTGCCGGCGCCGACCACGGTGGCACAGATTTGGTCGTCGCCGACGGCGAGATTCTCGAGAAGAACAGTGGAGTTAAAGTAAAGCCTTCTCCGGGAAAACGCAGCGGTATTTTGATCAAAGTCCCAGCAGAGAAGAGTATAGCCGCCGGCTCTTATGCCGCAGAAGGTATCCCGACCGGCGGAGACGACGGAGAAGGAAATATTTGGGTCAATAAAAATGGTTTGACCGCGACGGAAGCAGAGAATCCTTTGCGTGGGCTGCTCAGCGACGATGCCGCAGACGGTGGTGGAACCGTAGCTGACAGCAAGCGTGGAGGCAGAGCCGAGAGCTAAGGTCGCCGGAAGCAGAGGGAAAACGAAAGCGATGAAAGAGATGACGGGGATAGCGGCGGTGAGAAGGGGTAATCTCGTCATTTAAAAGAGGAGAGAGAGAGAGGAAAGGGGTTTTGTTGGGTTGTAGCCTGGCGTACTTCATTGGGAGTCTCAGCCATGCGCAGAGGAGAGAGAAAACAGGAGACCCAGATGAAGAGAGAGAGATGGAAAAAAGAGGGTACGAATTTATTAGAGTGAAATTCTAGAGAAAAACAATCTTAACTGGTTCTAAGCATAATGTAGAAACATAAACATGTCCACACCAGCCATATAAGAGCCACGTCAGCGATACTGGAGAAAAGGAGAAACACGTGGCATGCAGTGAATGGAATACGCGCCTACGAGGTGAACCACGTGCGTGACCTTCATTTTGGTTCAGAAACCGCTGCTGCCCGACTTTGACCTTTCAAAACAAGTAAGACTCTGCCACTCACTCCTCCATCATCATCATCATTATTATTATTATTATTATTATTATTATTCTAAGTTATTAATTTTAATTTATTTCTTTTTTTTTTCAATAAATAAATAATCTATGTCGTTTGTTAGGTTAGTTTGATTCTTTTTATGTTGTTTTATCATTTTTAGTTTAATAGGTAGACCACATTGTTTCAAACATATATACGTTAATTCATCGAGATAATATCTCATGTACCTAAAGTCACATCAATTTAGTTGGATGGATATAGATCGATGAAGTTGATATTAACACTTGAGTTCAACTTTGAAGCTTCTCGTTAATATAACATAAGAATGTTCATTTTTTTTCCTTCTTTATAATCTGATTTAAAACTCGACAGTTATGCAAACCAATGAGAAAAATAATAAAAATTGAAATTGAAGTTGGGAAGTGGTCAAGAGAAATAAATATGAGAATAAATGGAGCAGCAGCAGCAGCTGAAAGTGAAAGAAAATGAGTTTGATATGTAAAGACCGACTCAAATTCAAATTCAAATTCAAATTCAAATTCCTTCAATATAAATATCTCTTCAAAAAGTTCTTTTAACATTTGGTGCAGACTTCACAATTTCCGATGCATATCATTCTCTCACCTTTGCTTTTCTTTTCTTTTCTAACATTATTGTATAGGTAAAATTTTGTATATTCTGGAAAAAAATGAAAAAAATTACTAGATAATTAATAAAATTAAGAAATCTATTAGATAAAAGAAAAAAATTGAAAATGGAAGGGCTGAATTGGTAATTTAAAAATATATATTTGACCAAAAAAGTTTAATTGAAAAGCTGACAACACACAAATGTGGAAAGGACAGAGCATACCATGAAAACAGAATCTTCCAAAAGCAAATAAGAACAGCTCAAGCAAACATAATCAATAAATCTTTTCTTTTAAGAAAATAATAAAATAGCAATAAACAGCATGAAATGTTGGATTATTTGATGGAGGAAAATATTAAAATATTAAAATGAAATTAAAAAGAAAAAATGTAAATGGGGTATTGAGCAGAGGGTGTGAGGGCAATCATGGGTGTTTGTGAAGAGGATAGCATTACTTATATATTCCAAATATAATTAGTTCTTCACCAACACATTCCTTTTTCCCTTCTTTTTTACTCTAACTCTTCTAAATACCTTAATTTTTAATATTCTGGAGAAGCCACAAAACAGTTAAAGCAACCAAAGGGAGGAAACAACTGATATTTATTGGTAAAAAGTTCAAGAAAATTCCTACTAACATATCCAACAACACTGCATTAATAAATTACAATTCAGAATTCCTACAAATTTACAATCTTAATACTACTATGATTTTCAAACAATTGGATGCAACTTTTTCAGGATCATATCCATGATGTACAACATGAAGCTATACAGAAGTTCAAGAATCAGAATCTGACTCCTAAATGTGCTCTGCCCTTTTGAACAAGCAAGCTAACTGTGTTAACTGGAGCATGAGCAGAGAAGAATGTACCTTTCTCCTTGGCACAGATTTCGTTGAACTTAGGTTGGAATTCCATGCTTCTGAAACCATTCAGGCATATGGAATCTTTCGTACAGCACTGATCTGACGTCGTTCTGCAGCGAGAGGTGCTTTAGGAGTGGAAGAATGACATCTAGAAGCTGTATATGGAAAATAAGGAAGACGGTCACTAAATGAATTATTGTGAAGATGTACTGTTGTTGAAAGATGCAGAATTTTCAATATTTTCCCACCTGTGAATCGTGTGGTTGCCCTGCAGAAAATGGAATGCAAGGAATTCCATTCACAGGTTGCAATAGAAAACTGAAAGGATTGTTATCAACGATGACTGTTCTTCTTAGATCTTTTGATAGGCAGCTGAGATCCTTCACGTGATCTCGATATTCCCTGTAGATTACATACCAGAACCATGGGTTTTACAGAGAATAGACACAATTGGGATACTTAGCTTTGAAGTAAGTGCTTTTAGCTTAACTTGAAATGGGTAAAAAAAAACACTTTGAAAGTGAGTGCTTTTAACTTCTGTGAGGATCTAAATAATGTACTAAGTGAAAGCTCAGTTTCTTACCAAAAAAATAATAATAATAACTCAGTTTCCATTTATTCTTGATAAATTTAACTACTAACTAAACAAACTTATCAACAATTGGGGCATGTTTATGTCCTATCCAAAATCACTACCAAACATATGCACTTAATCACTGCATTCAATATCAATAAAGAATGGACTTAAGGATATAAATACATGTACATGAACAAATTCTTATTCGAACTCCTGAATAATTCGAACTTGTTTTTGGAAAGGGTGTGTTCAATAATCATAATAGTATAATGTCTTTCCACAGTTGAAGCGTCAATAGACTTGAATACTGCCAATCTAGATAAGAAGTAAACATTGCAAATAGTTGCTATGCTGATCGAATAGAAAAGAAGAAAATAGCAGATAAGTACTTACGTGCTAATTGTTGAAGGCCTATAAAGTCGAAGACTAAATCGATTTTCTTCATCTATCCTGTCAACAAGAGGTCTTGCATATCCTGAGGCATACACATAGATGACATCCTTCAGATTCTCTTTCATTTTTCTATTATGGGCAAGGATATTACTTGATAATATAATGGATAGTAAAGTGTACAAACCTTCAAGACCAGCCGTGAATAGTACAAGATCTGCAAAGCTACCTAGTTGATTTAAGAAATCATGCAAACCCGGACGCTCAAAGACAGTAACATAGTTGACCTTAGGCTTCCCTTCACAGTCCTTCAAATAGCAGCATACCCAGGTAAGATGGTTTAACTGAAACTCACAAAACCAAATCAATACAAGGTTACTGGAAAGTAAACTACCTTATCTGAAGAAAAACACTCGAGTTCGAAACACTTCAGTCCAGCTTCTATTGCTTGATTACGAATAACAGCAGGCAGAGTGGATGTCTCATATGCACATATGAGAGTTTCATCCAAATCGAGAACTATCTGTAATTGTCCAATGCCAGATGTGGAATTAATAAAGGAAGCGCACATGGGAAACAAAAGGAGGATAAAAGAGGAATGAGCCATATGTAATTTCTTGAAACGACTTTAACTTCACAGCTTCACACGGCTTCTCCACAAACTTCTAACATCAGAAGCTTTACATGGCACAGGAAAACGTTTTCAAATCATAAAATTCAGTTCTAAAATGGACGAATATAGTTCGTGCAGATTGGAATAAGCATTTACAGAGTCCCAGAGCTAGATTCTTTCATCTACTACTAATGAATCGTCAAAATGAAATACTGCAGAACCATAGGCAATGAAGTTGAAGCTTTCCTGTCCCTATTTTCATCAAGGAAAGGATCATCTCTTCTTCCCCAAAATGATATCAATAATTTTCTCACGTACACCAGGGCCAAGCCGGGTTAAACATTACTCCCAAACTCTCACAAACATTAAACGAACTTAAGCATATCTGGTGAAATCATTGCCATAGACGAATAATTGCAAAATCAAGCAAACCTAATCAGCGTAACAATTGCACAGTTTCATGAAAGAACCAGCACAAATAGAATCCAAACACAAATTCTTTCCAGCAAACAAATTTGGGGGAACAAAACGATGTTCACAACGAGAAATCAACAAGAAAATCACAATACCGTCAGTTTCTCCATAAGCCCGTCGGACTCCTCATCTTCAACAGAGGCAATATCAACGGCAGAGGCAGCAAGAAATTCATGATCAGGAAGCTCAACGACCGGCAAAGGCTTAAAAGACGGAGACGAAGAATCAGAATCAGAAGAAGAAAGAAGCCGAAGGTGTCCAAAAGCTCTGAGGATCTGAACGAAGATCTGGAAGAAGAAAGCCAACCAGTTCAACAACGTCTTCCACACCTGCAGAGTCCTCAGCGAGTAGACCTCAGGCTGAGTCAACTCAGCCATGGAGTAACTGATCGGAACCGCCTCTCCGACAACCAAAATGCACCGAAATAGCTGCTCCCGCACCGACGGAAGATAGAACCAGTCGATTTTGGAATCTTCCAACCTGTTACGTATAGACAATGGGTCCGCAACGGCGGCGAAAGAGGAGGAGGAGGAGGAGGAGGAGGAAGGTGGGGGCACGCAGGGGAAGAGGGTTGGAGTTTTTATGAAGAGAGAAGATGGCGCGTAAGGAGAACCCGCGCGTGAGTGAGATCGGGGAGAAGAAAGAGGATTTTTGAGAAGAGGGGGAAGTGAAAGAATGAGCCAATAAGAAAAGACAATACTGGTCCTTCCTATAATGTCCTTCGTAATTATTAATTATACAGAGACTCCAATTCGCTACTTCCGAGACCACTTGAAACCGACTATTTTAAATAATTATATCCTAATTTTCTTATTTATTAATCATAAAACTGTGCTGGTTGGAGCTTTAAATTTTATTGGTTGACTTTCTTTTATGTAAATTTTTAGTTTTTCTCGATTCTAATTGGTTCATTAAAAAATAAAATAAACAATTCCTCCAATTTTAGTTATTATTATTATTATTATTATTCAAGTAAATATCGATCTAAATTGGATTAAAAATTAAAATTACCCTCGATTATCTTTTAAGAATATTTGATCGGGAAAGATATTAATATTTCCATCCATTACTTTGTTTTGGATAAGATCATTGACAAATAAATAATGTATTTTATTATCGTTATTATCTAACACGGTGGCATTAAGAGATTGGAAAACAAATAAGGATTTATGACTTATTAATATTATTATTATTATGCGACAAAAGCAAAGGTGTCTATTTAATAAAAAAAAATTTAATAAACAATTCACGTTAATCATAAATATAATTAATTATTATATGAGGCAATAAAATAGAATATGTGTAATTAAAATCATTCCAATTTTTGTTATCTATTTTTTTATAAATATTTTTTAAAATCCAACTTAATTTTTGAAAATTTTAAAACTAGGTTTTGAATTTAAAAAAGAATTCAAAATGTTTTCGTAGAAAAATATGAGACAAAATAATCATAATATTAAAAAAAAATTAAAGGTTAAAGATTATGATGCACTTTAATCTAATATATTTCACTTTTGTCGTTTTCCTCTCTCGAGAATTCAACAAAATCAACTTTATTTTGAATGTAAAAGAAAAATCATTTAATATTTTTTTTAAAAGCAAAAATGAAAGAAAATGAAAGAAAATTATAGCAAATTAAAACCATTCAAAATAAACAATAAATAAATAAATAAATAACAACAAAACAAAACCTATATTTGTTGAATATGACCTTTAAAGTCATTTAATTAACTACTGACCATACAATTCACAACTCTTTTATTTTTACTTTTATTTTTTATTTTTTTTTAATGTTTTTACTTCCTTCTATTTTGAAAATTTTAGATCAGATCAGACAAAAAAAAAAAAAAAAAAAA